TACATACATACATACATACATACATACATACATACATACATACATATATATATATATATATATATATATATATATATATATAATTCAGCTTTGTTTGGGTATTTTCCCATGTCATTGTAGTTGTGCTTTTAAAGTTGTAGCAACATTTCGGCAGAATCTCATCTGCCATCATCAGGCTTCTGTATTGGGTTCTATTAACTATTAGCTATTAACAGTGGGGTTCTTTCTACTAGAAGCCTTTTTCCCCTTTATCAGTCAGTTCCTCTTATCCATTATCTGAAGATACGTTGTGAAGGCAGCATCATTACTTCTTCCATGGTGATGCATTGCAGTCTTTAGGACCTTTATAAAAATTAGCAATGGGGTTCAAATATATATTTTAGCTCTTTCTACACAAAACTCACAAACTAACTGTATCTTGTTGAAAAGTAAACAAAAGACCAAGTTTGGATCTGGTATAATGGATTCCGATCCATTTTTGAATAGCCTTCCTTATGATTATTTTTTTCTTGCAGACAGCGTATCTGTGCAAGTGTGATGGATGAAGTTACAATAGGAGTGCTGAGAAAAGCTGAAAAACAGGTTCAGTCACAAGAAAGAAGGTCAAAGACCTCTGTCTATAGGAGAAATTCTCTAGCACAGCCCTACTGAAGGAGCTCACAAAACTCACAAATCCCTGCCACATGAGGTTTGTAAATCACCATTTTGTTTAAGACCTATGACTTTACTTTTCATAAATGCCATTCTTTATTCCAGCAGAACATGGCCGAGAAACAAAGAAGAATGTTAGGAGAGGAGCATCTTGAATTCCCAGTTATGCAGCACAACAAAGGAGCTGTTAATACAAGAGTATTGATATTTATTGTATTGAGTATTGAGAATTATTTCATATATTCTCTTCTATTGGCCAAAACCCAATAGAAGAGAATATATGTAGCTCAATGTTAAATTGTGGAGTCCTTGGTACTTTCTGAGCTTGCAGATGCTTCATTACCTGACTGGGTAATAACATCAGTGCACTGAGAATTCCATAAAATCCACATGAACATATTTCAAATAATATAATCAGTTTGTACTGAATTGGGTGTCAACATGAATGCCAATGTTAAATGTTAAATCTGTGTTGCTTAAAATTTATGTATTTATTTATTTTCCATATTTATTATGTTTATAAATAATTCAAGGCAGCAAACATACCAAAAGAGCTGTGGTTGTGCAGTGGTTAGAATGCAGTATTGCAGGCTAACTCTGCTCATTGCCAGGAGTTCGATCCTGACCAGCTCAAGGTTCCATTGTTCTGAAGTGAATAAAATTTGACCCAGATTGTTGAAGACAATGTTGACATTGTAAACTGCTCAGAGAATGCTGTAAAGCACTATGGAGCATTATATAAGTCTCAGTGGTATTTCTATCAATAATACTCCTCAATAACAACTTTGTGAGGTGATTTGTCCTGAGAGAAAGTAACTGGCTTAAAGTGACCGAGTTGATTTTCATGCCTAAGGTAGGACTAGAACACACAGTCTCCTGGTTTCTAGTCATGTGTCTCAACCACTAAACCAAACTGGTTCTCTAGCCTTTTTGTGGAACTTCCTAGCTACATGCAAAGCCACAATGGTTTTTACTACTGTCAGAGCAAGTCTTACCCCAAAATGCAAGCAGAATATGAGTAGTGGAAGAGAAATGTGAAAGCGCTAGCTTTGGATGATTTCTATTACTATTACTGTATTGATCTGAAATGCTTCAGGAAACAATGAACATAACCATCTGAAGTTTGATTTTTAGCAAACATAAAGCTTTTCAAAATAATATAATAACCTATCCACCCCACAGCGTCTTTTTTTTTTTTTTTGTTTCTAACAAAAGCAATAGAAAAGAAAAGAAAAGAAAGAAGACTTTTTTTCTGTTTTGTGGTTAAGGACAGATTTGCAGAAAACTTTTTACAACACACACAAAAATTGGATGAAATTCTGTTCTCTATTAGATAACTATTTTAATTCAGAACAAGCCTCAAAAATAAATGAAACTTAAAGAAAAGCTTGAAACAAAATTATTTTTTTAAAAAATAAAGTAGATTTCAATTGCCTGCTGGATATTGCACAGTCATATCTATTCCCCACTACCCCAAAGCCATAAAATTATCAAAATGTATCTATGCTCAAAGGGAGAAATTGAGCCCATTTCAAAATTTTCTAATCAGTTTTAGCATTTTAGTGGATACATTTTGAAGCATCATTGCTGCAGATAGCATGGCAGAGCATAATAATTGTTGCAGATTCATTGTGGTTTAAATCTCCTCAGACTGGTTAAACAAAAGTAATAGCAAAACTACATTGCCATGTTAACCGCTTTTAAAATCCCATGGAGAAAAAGAACTTTTGATGCATGTTTTCATATCTGTCAGAAAGATATAAAAACAGCCATGGTGCTACCTCTTTTTTGCCTACCTACTTCTTTCATTAATTAATAGTTGGATGTTCATTATTATTTCAGGAAAAATTCTTCAATCTGCTTCCTTTCTCTTCACCAGAGCCAGTTCAAAAACCATTACAAATATATAGCACAATGGTTTACAATAAACTGAACAGGACTGGTTCAAACAGTTGGTTTTCTTTTTTCTTTTTTTCCCAGAGTTGGCTTTCCAACATGATGGCCCATTCATGTTTTGCTCCTGCCAGTTCCATGGGATTGGATGCTTGGCTTTTTAAACAGTGATAGTTTAATACACATTTCTACCCATATATACACATATCACGTATACATATATGAGCATACATATATATGTATACATTCAGAACCACATATATGTATTGGCATTATCAATTGCAAAAAGCAAGCCAAAAAGAAGACTGACCTGGCTTACCTACACTCTGCTCGCATTCAATGAAATCTTCATCATCATTAGAACATTCTGCTGAAGAAACGAGGTCATCTGTTGTCTAATGTCAATAAGAACAAAAGAAAAAAAAGAAACAAAGATCAAATGAAGGGAATCATATTCAAAAGAACAGTGGTCTTTGAGCATGGCTTAAACATTTCTATGATACATATTTTTCTTATTATTTAGAGTGTTGGCTTTCTTCTTCTTTTTGTATATTTATGGAGATTCTCAATAATCTATTCAGGTCATAGTGGTCCCAAAGGTGCTTTTCCAAAATGCAACCGGACTTTCTTGAGTCTTTTCTTCTTGAAAATGTTTTGTTTTCAATGTTCCTTGAAAGCAAAATGTTTTCAAGAAAATAAAACAAAACAAGAAAGTCCAGTTGCCTTTTGGAAAAACACCTTTGAGACTTTTTGTATATTCTATTTTTAGCCCAAAATTCTATTAAATTATGTAATGTGATTTATTGCTTTCCATATTATGTTACAATAGTTCTAAGGTACTTCTAGAATACATATTTCCCATATGTAAGAACATAGAAAATTGCCATCAACTCCATCTCTGATTCATTTTGCTCAGTATTATCTAGACAACTCTCCATATCCAGAAATACCAAAGACAAAGTGGTTACTATATAAGTAGCAGGGAGTTTTGTATTGAATTTTGGCCCTTGTTTTGAAAAACATAATGACAAGTTAGTACAACACACTCTTATCCCACAGTAGAGACTATCAGCAAGTTCTAGAGAATTTCATATAGTACCATAAAAAAGGTTACCTAATTTCATATAATTTAGTTAACTGGACAAATAAGTGAATGAATAAATAAAATGGCATAGATGCATAACTAAATCATCATCATCAATTTCTGGGTGCAATATTTAAAAAATAAAAATACACTTCATGAGATAGCTATGTATATAATCATACATGATATGATTGCATTTACTTCTTGTGCCATATTCGTCATCAGAGATTGGTGATCATGTTGTCATCTATATTTTGCATTTACACAGAGAAAAATATACAATATTTCTAAAAATAATATGGACTGTGTAATCCAACTGTAGGTATGGTTTGGAAAGTAAAAATCAAATAAAGGCTATTTTATTTCAAATTCCACAAAAAAGCAAAAGTATTTGTCTTCCTTATGACACTGGGATGTAGTTCCTGGTATGGTAATGCATGGCAGATGCACTATAGTCTCTGAAAAACTGAGGCCACATCAAGAGTGTCTCTGGTGTCAGCGAATCAGAGCCCATGTTCCATGAACTTTTCAGCTAGTAATTCTGAGCATGTGAGTGCCTGTGACTGTTCTAATTAAAGAGCAGCATGTATTGCGGTGTGTTAAGAAATATAATGGCTTCCCTTCCCGGTAGTAAGCCCTTCATGTAATTGCTCCAATTAGCAGTGGAGACCAATAGGAGGGTTTTGAGGAAGCCTCTGGACTCAGGCATATTGTTCATGCTCAAGAGTATTAAAGTATCCAGCCCTTGGCAACATGATCTCAACAAATGCCTGATTCTGCCATTCCCCACTCTTTGCTATTCCAGTTCTGTAAGCAGTATATAAAAGGTACAGATCACACAGTGTTGTAGGGCCTATGTAATCGGAATTCCTGTTGGATACACAGTAGAGAACCAGGCTCATTGTGCCTGCCTGGAGATGTTCTTTACCCAACAATTTACAGAAACTCCTAATGGCACTCTCAGACTTTGGATTCAATATGCAAGCAAACCCGCCTTCTCTCGCTTGCACTGCTGTGTCCCTCATACCAGTACTTTTTCAGCTAGGATGAGAAAAGGCTTACTGCTTTCATTCTCTTCCTGAATTTCTTTGGGAATCTGGTTATGATATTATTTCACTCAATTAAATTACAATGTGCAATGACTGGGGAAGACAAAAGTTCTGAAATTCTTGCTGAATTTCAGAACCAGCATTCTTCTCCTTTGGTCATGAAGAGGCTGACACATGTGGTTCATTAACCTCTGGAGAACTAGAAATAAAGATAATTCTGTCTCTTGTTTTAGTCCACTGTAAGCATCATCATCTCTTTCGTTGGACAATATTATATATTTAAACATCTCAATGGAGAAAATTGTACCTGCAATTATTTCCACTGTTTCTTCCCGCTGAAAACTATTAAAACAAAAAAAATATCTTTTTTTTTCTGAATATATTCCCTCACTGGCCAATGGAAAAAAAAATGTAGAAATCCACACTTCTGTTGGATTTCCTTAATAATCTCAAATTTGCATTGGAAATTGAAACAGGAGTAATTGTTCTCCCTGCCTCTTGGCCCTCTCAAGACTTTCTTGAAACTGAATTGGGATTGGAATGGGGATGGACATCTCTTCTTATTGATGGAGTTCATGTTTTGAATCCTAAAGATAGTAAACTGAATCCCTGACACTGCTAATGAAACCAGAAAAGATTCTTGCTGCAAGAGCTACTGAATATTAGTATGGACAAAACTGAGTAAGATTCATCTTTTTCAGTGTAAGTATCAAATAATAGGCAGAAGTCTAAAATTTGATTTTAATAATTAATGGAAAAACTAGCCTGCTAACTAGTGGAAATAATAATCAAGGCTCAATAACAGAGTAAGCAATGCTTTCCCTTGCAAAAAAGAGAGGCAAACAGAATGTATTAAGCTTGCTTGTCTATCTTTTTCATGAAAATATTCCACAGTAACCTATTCTGAAATATGTATTTTATTCTTTTGAAGTAACATGTCAGAAGTGAAATAACTCATTCCAGTGTTTACAACAAAAATATTTTTATTATAAATTAATTGTAATTTATACAATGATAGTCAATGTATATATTATAGATTGTAATTTATACAATTATCAATTGTAAATATTACACTATTGCTGTTACTATTTATTCGACTTATTGAAAAAGTGTTGATATCATATAGGAATACTTTAGCACTTATGAGAGGTTTACTTTCAAATTCCATCTCTTCACAGAACTGATTCTAATGAATTATTATTTCTAGATTTCTAATTATTTACTTCTAGAATTTCTTTGGGCCCCTATGAGGATTCTATATGTGTATCCATTGTTATGTACTGAATCTTGAGAGAGAATTTCAGTTACTATATAAAAATTCAATCAGAGCCATTACCTTTTCATGACAGCCCAAAATAAGAATTTATGCTACAGATTTGTACGCTTTGACCTACTGTTCCAAATAAAATGGCTTTATCTATAAAATATTCCATAGGAATCAGTCCCATTTAGACTATAACTATTCCATTCATTTGCTATGTGATGATTTTATGGGTATTAAGCACTAGATAAAATAAGCCCTGTCATGGAACAGCTTTATGAAACTATAAACAACACATTCAGTGAATGATGTGTTCTCATTCTTAGGATGGATGGAAAGAGAAAGGCCTATAAATATCTGCTTCTCAAATCTAGCAGATAAATTGTGCTACAATATGCTCTTGATGGATGACTTCCTTTTTAAAGTCTGGTTTATATTCCTTTAGTTACCTGAGGAACTGTTTCCATAAAACATTGCATACTTCTTAACCTTCATTAGAAATCAGTATTAAAGTTTTGTTTTCAATGGTCAATTAGGATAAATGTAGTATAGATTTCAATTTACCTTATATTAATAAATTATATATTACATTTAACTTAGAAGTTGGACTCAAATGGCTGAAGAAGAAGGAAATGTCCTGGAACATGATCTCAATTATCAATTATCAAGAGGAAACATTCTGCCTAAGCAAAAGGCAAATTTAAGCATTACATTTTAAACTTGAGCACATCTAGAGATGAATTTTATTGTCCTTCTGTCCTCCACTCCAAATAAATAATTTCAGTTAATATATTATTAAATTTTTCACTTACAAATTGGATAATGGGCAACAACTTTCCTGGAATTATAAAATTGGAAAAAATATTTTAGCTTCCTTGACAATTTATCAGCGGTGATGATAACCACAGTCATCACCATGGCCAGTTTAAGCCATAATCTTTCAGTTTGGATGTACAGATCTTGATACTTTGTGATCTTCTGTAATTCTTTGTCTTCTATTCTACTATGTACTGGTATTATCACATCTATTATCTACATTTTCTTCTTTTCAACCCCAGATAAATTTGGTGGGTTATGAGACAAAGATTTATCAGTCTGTATTTGGAAATCCCACAATATTTTAATCTATTAATTTTCAATTACTTTTACAATTCTATAATTTTTCATTATTACACTGATAATTTTTACAAATGTTTCATTGAATCATTTTGACAACTGTTTATGTTGCTGTTTATAATCAATTTGTGGGATCTTTTTGCACAAGGTGAGTATATAATTTACTATTTTCATCTGCCTTTTTGCACAATCTGCACTTTGAATCATTAATGATGAAATTTTCAACTCTGGCCTTGATTGCATTTGGCTCTTAAACAGCCAAAATCAAGCCTTTGATTTATTTTTTTAAAGTCCCAGTTGTAAGCCATTGCAAAAATGATAAAAGGTTTTACCTTTATCCACTTTCCCTACAGTCGTTTCTAGAAATTAATCATGTAATGCCTTTTTTGACAGCAGTTCTTGATTTTATTACATTATTTCAATAGTTGTTTTAAAGATATTTTTGTAAAGTATATGGTTTATTATACATTGGTAATATATTCTTATATATAATTATTTTATAGGCTTTTCCCCAGGAACATAATTGTAAATCTTTAAAAACTCAATAAATATATTTGCATTAAAAAGAAAACACATTGGTTACTAAAATTGTTGTCTTACATAAATATCATGGGGTCAAACAGAAATTCTAGAGGTGGCCATGTAAGTATGGCTGGGACCTCTTTAAGCATTTCTACTAACATTTCAGTTGGATTACTTCTTCAAAAGAATAGTTTTTAATTGATAACATCAAAAGCTGCTGAGACATCCAGGAGAATCAACAAGAGTACATTTCCCATTTCTCTTTCCTTGACAAAGATAACCAAGAGGGAAACAAATCTTATGCCATGAAGAGCTTTATAGGTGATAACCAGCTTGATTCATCTGGAAGCAGAGTGGCAACCA